AAAATCCCACAACATATCTATAGTACATACCATCAGTTGCCAACCTCTTAACATACCTTCACCATTCACAACCATGGAACAATCTGCCTCGAGAACCCTTTTAGTCTTCAAATCCCTAGAATACTAGAATCTCCATATCTGATCACAACTACACTACTCAAATAACTAACACATTTCTCACACACAGTCAGCACACGAGAAGTACTTTTATAATTCTTTCGTGCCACAAAGCAAAATCTAGACATCAGCAGTCGATCAACCAAGCGATTACCATAATACCAGTCAAGCATCCGTGAGTCGAAACACAGTGCGCCTGTATTCTTCTAAACATCTAAAATCGTTCATGTTGTCTAGAACTCGTGAGCCCATTTAGGTGAAAATTATAACACGCAACATGTTCCTTATGTCGGTAGCAGACATCTAGCTCAAGTTGTGGTCGACATTATCAAGAACTCTTTGAGGCCAATCCGAACATCACCAAGACATCAGAACTGAACTTCTCCAACTCAACCAAGTCACGCAAGTCGTCAAACCCAAAAGTATTGCCACAGAACGCTAGTAAAACATTACCATACCAAAAGACCAGTTACCTTTGTTGCTATGCTGACCCAACACCATCGAGCTGACCCATTTCATCTAATCCTCCTCGACTTGTCTTCAGATTAACACTTTCCCTTATGGGTACACAATGATCCTAAGTCAAAGCTCGTTGCGGAAGACCCTAGCACGAACCATGTTGCCCGAAAACCCATAAACCATTGTATTTCCTCTAGAGCACCCAACAATGCTGCAACCGAGATACCCACTCTTAAGAGACCCTCTGTGAATCTGAAGATGTTTCTCTAACCTCTCTAATACTGGAATGTAGATTTAGCAATGATACAGATATACCGCAAGTTCCAGCACCATCCCATGAAAATCTCAGATCTTAGTCATGTACAATTACGGGGAACCCCTCAACACTACATATATACCTCAGACCCAAGACTGATATGACACTTGCAATACACATGCAATATGATCGTTGATAGTAGACTCCCCAACTTAGCGCAGAGTCATAGGGCACAACATCCGATGATCCATATTACCAACCTTCATAAGCTCGTACAACACCAATCAGATACACGAACCAGTTGCATCCCACACTAGAACAACTGAAGACCTACAACCACGTCCGCGTCCTTAGTCTGGACAATACCTCGAGACAATGATCGAGCATTTATGGCCCCCTTGTATCCCATACACAACATTACAAATGGTCGAGCATAGTTGATACCGAGCGCGCAACATCATATATAAGTGGATGTAAAAGGATATAAGATATATATTTCAAGCTGAATCAATGACGCACGATAAGGAATGAAAGGGGTGGTTCCTAATAGTTTCGTAGCTTCTCTAAGATAAGTACAGACGTCTCTGTACTGATCTGCAAGACTCTACTAAACTTTCTTATGACTCGTAGCACCTATGAACCTAAAACTCTGATACCAACTTGTCACAGCCCAAATTTCCAACCTTAGGATGTCGTGATGGCACCTAGTCTTTAAGCCTAACACATGCTGATTTAATAACATAATTGAACTATTTAATCATTTATCATAAACCATTAAATGACATACATAGCTACAAGCGGACAGTAGTTAAACCGGTTGTGACACCCCAAAAAATTTCAAAATACTTAAGTGCTAGTAAGAAAGTTGGTATGTGCTAATTATATTATTTTGTGCGCAGCCGAAAACTATTAATATAATGGATTTAAATTGAATTTGATAATAAGTGTACGAGGCATATTATAAGTGATGTGGGGTCTAAGGAGAGCCCTAAGTCCNAGTTTCTAAATCTTCAAACCGTTCGTCATTTGGACACTCCTACAAGAAGTTATGACCAAATTACCAATGGCTGGCAGAATGTGATTCCACGGCCAGTTCTTCGACCGCAGAATTGACCAGTGCAGCCCGGACACTCCTACAAGAAGTTATGACCAAATTACCAATGGCTGGCAGAATGTGATTTTCTTCGACCGCAGAATTGACCAGTGCAGCCCAACTTTGTGGTCCATTGTGTGACCCGCATACCTATTCTGCGGTCCATTATGCGGCCGCATACCTTAGTTCTGAGGGTTAATTTTTTAATTTTCATAACTCGACCCCATTTTGATAAATAGCCTTTGGGCTTATTTTGGGGCGATTTTCTGAGGATTTTAGAGATATGTAAGAGCATTTTAGAGAGAGAAGTAGGAAGCCTAACATTCTAATCATCCAATCTTGCACCAATCTTCAAGAATCAAGGAAGCCAATCACAAGATCTTCATCTAAGAGGTAAGGTTCCATACCCTAGTCTTTAATTTCGAGTTTGGGGTAAAAGATGGGTGGTGGGGAGTATGATTCTTGGGTGTAAGAGTATTATTTATACATGCTTGTACTAATAAGGTTTGTGGGAAGATTTTTGACTTCAAATAAGTAAGGATTTGGTGGTGGAGTGAAGAAAATCTTGTAGAAGAACTTTGTAGTTTAATTTGCACACCTAGTGTTTGATAAAATACTCATCTAATTTGTGTTCAATTTTGTTATGTCTCAAAATAGATAGGAATTGGTAGAATTTTTGAAACGTTGTAGTAATTTAAAGAAAGATCAAAGTGAGGTATGTTGGCTTAACTATTCTCTTAGAATTGAATTCCATGATTTTCTCGTAAGTTTCAAGTATGGTTATCTCAAGTTTCTTATTCTATGTTCCGAGTTGTTCCCAATAAATTCGATTGTCCCGAATAAGAAAAGTGTCGAGAATTATGTATTCAAAAAGTGTTCCAAATGTTCCTATCACATTATGTTATGCTTTGGGAATGTGTTCAAGAATGATTTATGTTATTAAAATGCTATGTCTTTGAGTCGTGTTTCAAATAAAGGTTATGATGCCAAATTGTGTGAGAAAATCTCAATATGCTTAAGAGATGCCAAATTGTGTGAGAAAATCTCAATATGTTTAAGACTCTTAATTGTTCATATGTGTACCTAAAGTCTTGATTGAAAATGTCTTATTGTTGATAATCTATAAAGATGGTTGGAAGTGAAATAAGTGAATTGGGGAAATAAAAAATCTCAATATGCTTAAGACTCTTAATTGTTCATATGTGTACCTAAAGTCTTGATTGAAAATGTCTTATTGTTGATAATCTATAAAGATGGTTGGAAGTGAAATAAGTGAATTGGGGAAATAAAGTGTGGCCAATGTGCCAAGAGTGAAAGTTATACTTGTGGCCAATGGTGCCAATGAAATGAGATGATGTGAGAAAGATTATGAAATGAGCTTTGATTCAACTGTTTCGAAACTGACTTCGAAAATAGAATTGCCTAAAAGCTTATGAACTCAAGTGATGCCCGTATGTGGCTGTTTTGACTAATGATATGCTTTGTAAATAGTTTCGATGTGTTTTGTGTTCTTACATATTCGTGAGTTGAAATTATGTATTGCCCTTTTTGGGAAAAAATATTTCAAGAATAAATGATGTGTTACTTGTTTATGATTTTAACTTGTGCTTCTATTGCCAATCATTTTACTCCAGTTCTTGGAAAGAAATCCACTGTGTTTAAAGTCTTTATTACTAATGAACCTAAGGTTGTGGTTTCCGGAATATTATATTTGTTGATATTTATAATGATGATCCATGAAAGAGAAGAAATGAAAGTGTGGAATATGAAATACGGCCAATGTGCCATGAATGAAGAACTGTATGTATGGCCAAGAGAGCCAATGAAATAATGATGTTGAAAATTGTTGAAAGTGCCAATGAGGCTATATACAGTATGAAAGGTTATGATGTAAATGCATTTGTACCTATGTTAACTTTGTGTGCAAAAACAAAAAATAATATTTTTGGGAGTATCGATAGTCACCGAGGAAGGGTAGGTTGAAATAACCTAACCTCGAAACTACACGTGCCAGTGTAGGAGTGGATTGTGATTATTCCCCTTATTTGAGATGAGATTGATGTGATAAAGTTATTCCCCTTTATTGGGATGAGATGATTTATAGAAATGGATGATGTCGATCCACACGGCATTGTGGTGAGATGGCCTAGCCGATCGCTTCGTGATCGGACACCATGCCGCACACATGATGGTGATTATGCTGAAAATTGTAATTGAAATTGTGATTGTGGTTGATGTCTCGGGTGAGACGGCCTAGCCGATCGGGTCGTGATCGGACTTCGTGCTAAAAGTACGGTGGTTCTGGTATTGTGAATGGTGGTATATCGATGCTAAATATCTCCCAACCAAAAATAATATTATCTTCGTATTTTGAAAATTATTATGTTTTAACTTGAAAATTGGATATCATTGATTGTTATTTTCATGGTTTTCCATTTTATGTTGGGATTCTATTTTGAAAGAGGACAATTAATTTTACATACTAGTATATTCCATATGTTCTAACGTCTCTTTTGCCGGGGGCGCTGCATCTTCAATCGATGCAGGTGGTTCATCAGCGGGGCAACTTTGGTCCTCATTAGCAGTCACTCTTTATTCACCAGGTTTTGGTGAGCCCTACTATATTCCGAAATTTATGTCATCTGACGTTGTATTTTGTACTATGAGGTATAGCCGGAGCCTTTTCACCAGCACTTCCATTCTTCACCTCTATTGTATTTAGAAGCTCCGTAGACAGGTTGGGAGTGGTATTCGATGTTGGAAATTGAACTAGAAATGTTGATATTTGGCAAACATATTTTTCATTACATCTATAAACTTGTAATATTTTAAAAATTATGAATGAAGCTGCTAATGAAAATGAAATGTGAGTTGTTAATTAAATCTTTTCAATATTTTATTAATGGAGTAAATCTCCTCTTTATTCATGGATGAACTTGGGTAGAAGAAAATCTAATAGGCTTGCTCAGCCGAGTTCACTCGGTTGAGCGCCGGTCGCGCTCCCCGAGTTCGGGGCGTGACAAACTTGGTATCAAAGCGTAAGATTTTAAAGTGTCATAGGATGTCTCGGAGCCATGTCTAATAGAGTCCTTATTGGTGTGTTGTCAACCACATGTACAGGGTTGCTTCTGGTTGCGGTCTCTACATTCATTAATTAACAATACCTCTTATAAACCCAAGCTTCAACATCAAGAACTTGATCCTTGAAAGATTTGGAAGCCAATAATGTCCTTCAGACCATACAGAATCCCATGAAGAGGACCTATAAAGAAAAGAATCAAATAAATGTATCTAATCCCTTTGAGCAAATTCAGAGAAAGCTAATTAATTGTATATGAAGTTTTTCTAATTAAGATGAAAAAACCAGGAGGATTCATTTCTTAGAATAAAGTGAGAAGTGGTGGAACAATGGAGGATGTTAAGAGTAGGTAAAATGCTAATAGCGAGAAGGGTATACAAGAAAGGAAGAGGGCCAAAGGGGAAGAGAGGAAGGAGGAATGTTACCCAAATATTTGCCTTTTGAAAGCAGTTGAGCAACCTCTTTTGCTATGGTAATTCTTCACTAATTGTGATAATGCATTCAAGGACAGGACCATACATGTGAAGCTCTTGAATTACATATCATTTTGAGAATCTAATTACTCAATAACAAACAAAGTAGATTAAAGCATTCACCATACCTTTTCAATATGTCCAAAAATATACCAGTTAGCTCCGCTGATGTAATTAATTTTTATCTTAAAAAGTTACTGATCAAATATCTACATTTAGAACATTGTGTGTTGCAAAGAAATACGTTCTTTATCTTCCATGAAAAGGTACTAAATTGTAGAAAAGATCCTCTTGTACATGATATACCCATCCTACACCTGCAAGGAGTCCATAAATTCCAGGATATCTAGAAATATCAAATGATACATTTATTTTGCTCCAACAGTCCAAATTCTCAATGCAAATAAATGTTATATGAGGAATACATTCTATAGTTCCCTCAAAGATCCTATTATTCTTTTCTAATAAAATAATCCATAAATGCATATCTGAATTGTTTTCCATACACTTATGTCCATCTTTTCTCTATTTCTGTCCATGCCAACAATTTAAAACTTGCTCCATACTTCCAGGCATCACCCAATGGACTCCATAGGGAACACATCACCTTTGAAATAGAATAATTCTATACTCTTAAAAGATAATCCAACAAAAATTTAATTCAATTTACTTAAAAGGTCGATCTGTGTCTATTTATGTGGGGATTAAAGGCCCCGGCTACAAAATAAAAATGATAAAAAATACACATTACGCCAAGAAGTAAAAAGAAAGTTTGGCATGCTTGAGTGGTCTCAACTCTAGGAGAATATTCCGAAGCTTTTAGGCATGTAGAGAGGAGCTCACAGTTCCTTTAGATTTTGACAATGTGTCTTCATCTATGGTTTTTCTAACGAAAACGTAATGCATGAAAGAAACTACTCCATATAAGTAATTTGCTATAAATGCAACTCGAGGCTTCTGTTAAAAAAAAAGTGAGATCACATTATATTTTCTATGATTCACGGAGTAGTCCATCTGATACCATGATATGCCGACGCCATTGATCACAGTCCACAAACATCAAATAAGCGATAATCTTAAATGGAAGTTAACCACAATACGCAGCATTGAAGGACCACATAAGCGATAATCTAAAATGAGGGCACAAATCGAATGAAAATACTCTGATTTTGCGGTTACAATACATTTAGATATTAGCAGGCATCCTATGTACTTTTTGTTTAGTTGGAATCTAGGACACCATTTCAGCAAAATCTTCATGCATTTCAGCAAAACCTTCATGCTAGCTGCCCATACACAAATTAGTGAACTTGACAAAACTATCATATTTTTTATACCTAGTAAACTATATCTACTTAAAGCATTAGGTGACAAACACATAATAAAACCCAGTAAAGCATGGCTACTTAAAGTCATATGTAAAGAAAATACAAAATTAAGCTTGATGGTATCTGCACTACAACTATCTAGCTATTTCTGAAGATTGATCACGTTACCCGGTTATGATATCACGAGCTTCCTTTTTTCTAACTCCCTGACGAATATATCAGAACCTGTCATTTAAATGATGTAGCCAAGCAGGATAATTCGTTCAATACTTAAAATGAATTTACTACAAATAGAGAAGTGTAACATGTTGTACAATAAATTACTACCAAGTAAGTATTTTTTTAGAAAATTAATAAAAGATAATATTGTGTTAAGTCAAAAGCTATGAAAAGGCTGCACAAATAACCTGGATGAATGACCTATCAAGCTTGTAAAAAATAAGAGATACTACAAGAATCAAAAAGTGAAACTACAATACCTTTTTTACTGTCTGTAAGACTATATCCAAAAAGAAAAGCTTCAGTCATTGCTCACGCCCTGCAATTCTGAGATCTCAAATTTTAGGTTGTTTCTATCAACTCTTCTATCAGCAGCATCTTTGTTATTATTATGACTGATTTTCTGTAACAAGATTGCAGAATGAATATTTAAGTTTAACTTATGGTGTTAGTTTAGCATGCCACAAGTACTTCTAAATCACAAAAGAGAAATCTTAAAAGTGGACATCATGTAGATCTTTATAATCGATTGCACATCTGATTATTGCTGGAGGACTCACAGACGTAAAAATAACGGGGAACGTCTTTTCAACAGGATGCTACCAAAAGCTAAGTCTCATTTTACCTTCTACAGAAGTAAGAATGGTCAGAAGATCTTTTCATTCGACTGATGCTAACTTTGCAAGATAAGATAAAAGGTATTAAACCTTTGCCAACCTGCAAAGGGATAGTTTTAGGTACCATTCGAACCAAATCATATTTAGACAAAATTGCTATTGTATGCCTATGGCTACAAATGGCAAATATACAAAATACTTAATTCACGCTCACAGGTTAATAACAAATAAACTCACCTTTATCTGTATGACTAACAGATGCAAAACAAACCACAATAGAATGGGATGTCTAGGACATCATAACAAGATATTAGGAGCACCAATATGGTCAATGCTTCCTCGCGGCTGATGGAGAAGAGTGACTTTGGTTCCATATTCTTTCCATACATGTTCAACACGTTCATGAGCTTTGTAATGCTACAAAGTAGCAGTGAAATAGTATTGTCTTTTCCACACTCAGAAAGCAAAAACATCACTTGTTATATCAATATTAGTTGAAGATAATAATGGAATCTTTTATCCAGAATAGCCTAAAGCTCAGTGACATACATTACTTGATTACACCTTCATTCCTTTCATGTTTTTTTAATTTTTCAATGGCGTGCTCCCTATTCTTCACGATATTTCTCTCCTGCAATCAAATTTTTTGCTATGCTGAAGTTGCGCCAATCAGCACAGGCTATAGTTGTGATCCCAGCCACTTCTATCCATGCCAAACTTCTGTAATTTACAGAGCCAGAGGAGCATAATTTTTTGATTTAGCCTGAAATGGTTTATCTTACGTCAATGTTCTTGAAACACCATTAACAATAACTTTTTGAATGTAGGTTTTTCTCCCAATTGCTCTACGTTTGATTGCAATACCAAGAAATGGAAACATTGCTACTGGATGCTCGGTCAAAAAAGGATCCCTTGAACGAATGCAACTGGATAGTTAGTTAAAAAAAAAAGGATCCCTTGAACGAATGCAACTGGATAGTTAGTTAAAAAAAAAAGGATCCCTTGAACGAATGCAACTGGATAGTTAGTTAAAAAAAAAAGGATCCCTTGAACGATTGACAAAGTGAAACAGAAATGAACCATAAAATTTGGTGTGTAAACAGTTGCATTTTCATAATTAAAAAGGAATGAAAAAGTATTAAGTTTGATTGCCCCTAAAAAAAATATAGTACTTGCATCCAGCAAATATCCAAAATCATGAACCTAGGTTTAGTTACCTAGCATGCATATGTAAATTAGAGACAATTACTGACATGAATTATCCAATAGAATAGAAAAACTAACATATACCCACCAAAGTCCCATTATCAAGAGCCGGGCGCATTAAACAGAGAAAAGTATCAGCCGCAAAGGGAACTATAGATATTGATTAAATAGTAAGAAAATTATTTGACATGTACCAGTTTCAGCAAATAGTTGGCAAGTTTAGCAAAAAACTGAAATATTCCTAGGTTTCCCCAAGAAGGAGCACAAGATCGTCCAGTATTCAGAAAAATGGTCATCAACCTACAAAACGAAAGGGAAAAAACAAAGATGAAGCAAACTCAGATAGACATATGCAGAAACAAAAGAAAAAGCTAATCTTTTGGGAGAAGGATGGATGCTGGAAGAAACAGAGAAACTCCAATTCAAGTTCCTTGTTCATATATTTCTCAACAGCGGAAGGAAGATCAGAATGGGGCTTGTAGTTTACGAAGAATGTTCCCTTGAGATCGTAATTTAGGAGTAATATGAAATGACCAATATACCATTTAGCAGTAAGCAGATATGTCGTCGCGCTGCGTGTACTACCAAAATAACGTGATAAAATACCCAAAATTCCCAGCACCCAGTACCCCAAAATGGATTTACAAAAGTGAAGGTGGAATGAAGAAGCGAAAACCAATTTCAGAATCCAATTTCAACAAGCACTTTGATCTTCCCTTTAAAGAAATTGTCTTTTCAATTCTTATTTTTCTAATGACAACCCAATTCACAAAAAAATCATTCTCTCTTGTTTGCAAGTCCTTTTATACTGTTGAATCTTATCGTACGAATATGTCAAAACCCCTAAGATAAGAACAACCGTCAAAGATTCTCATGAGAAGTGTTGATATTTTCCTCTGCCCTAGAATCACAGTGGTAAGAAACAAATGGAATATCCAAAGCACTACAAATACGGCAAACAAAACATAAATGGGTTTTTAAAATCTAAAGTAGAGACCAAATTGCCATCAAAAGAAGAAAGAGCTTACAATAATTCTGAACAAACTCAGAGGTTACAACGATAACAAATTCATCAGTGAGTTGAAAGTTGAAACAAAGCAGAAATCAGAGGATGAACCAGAACGCAGACAGAGAAAACCAAAAAAGATGAATAGATAGAGAAAACCATAGATAGAGTCATTTGATTAGATACTAATCAAATGAGAGCGAAATAATTTGGGCCTAATCAAAATAATTATCTATGGAATTATTAATGCATGAATACAGAGTGGCCTTGATTGATTAATAAACTAGTAAATTTACCCGCGTTTCGCGCCGTCATAAAAAACCTTATTGATTTTACGAAATGATCTCTTTTCTAAATCCTGAGTATCAAAATAACCTCAAAATGTTAATTCTTCCGAAAACTAAAATTGTTTGAGCACTAATCCTTATTAGCAGTTCGCAAACTAAATTTGTTGTAGAAATAGTTCCGGTCGTGACTATTGTAAAGATAAGGTTTCCGTGTAGCATTGCATGGTTCTCAATAACTGTTACTTATATATGTTTTTAAATTTCTCTTAGCTTTCAAATCATGTTGTTTTGTGCGATAGACTATTACATTGTTGTACTTGCTGCAAAAAGGGTTAAATTAGTACAATATGGAGTAAGCAATTTATGTAGGTCTTAGTGCAATAGAACACTTGTTTACATAGGAAAATAACTTGATGAGCATTGTATCAATGTTTTTGTTAATATATCATCATGAAAAGCAATATTTAGTTTCTTTTAATTACGAAGATGACTTTGGACATCTGGTGGACTATATTCAGTAAGAACCAACGATAGAAATGAACATTTATTGAGGAATCTAAATCTAATTAATAATTAATAATAAAACTAATAGTTACAACATCTCTAGCAAAGAAAAATTACTCCTAACAGGAATCAAACATATGGCACCAGTAACTTTTTCTCAAGGCAGCTCATATGCAGAACTAATCTGTATCTAATTCGTAATTGCATGAGAATCAATAAAGGTCAGTAGCAGTGCTTTTAGCGAGTGATGCATGGGTGCAGTCTTTTCCCGAACTCTATGTGAATATGGGATACTTATGTATTGAAACTCTTACCATGCAAGCCTTGAATCATTTAATACCTCCTCGTTCTAATTTAAGTGCAAAGTGTTAGATCTCTGTAAATTTCAATGATGCAAAATAACCAATTACTCCATGTGTGCAGGAAAAGATTCTGAGCAATAAAATGGAGGAAATGAATCCAACGAAAAAGGAAAGAGAATCGGACAAATCAATCAAAGAAGATAGCAAAATCAATTAAAAGAGTTATTATTGGAAGGATCTAAATCAAAGGTGATTACGGGCACGAAATCATCCGCTAAAGATTCTCCCACATAATGACGTCAATCGAAGGCATCAATCAAGGGATTTGGCAGCGAGAATATTCTCTTATTTAAGGAAGAAATCACTCAAGCCCGTGAGTCAAGACAAGTCAGCGGAAGAATCAATCTCGGAAAGAATCAATCTACGAATCCATCTTAATACAACTCCCTTGGGTTCGCAATCTCTCGAAAAGATGTACAAGACTTGAAGGCCTCGAGAAGTATAAATACCTACTGCACTAGCTTTGGAATGATATACTTTGACCAAACCATCTTCAATCTTTTTGTTCTACTTCAAACAAAACAATATATTCTGCTTTAGATTCCTTGTGTAACAAAGAAGAGAAGAGACAGAGAGAGAGAGAAAAGAACGCTGGTGAGGCTTTGTATCAATTATAGAGAGAAGAACGAGTGACATAAGTTGTGGTATATAACAACATCAACTCATCTGTACTAAGCCACTTCATACTAGAAAGAGATCACCCTTGCAACCCTAGAAGACTGGACGCAGGATTCACTCTAAATCTGAACCAGTATAAAATCATACTGTGTCATTTACTTTCTGTAATTTATCTTTTACATTCTATTCCTGAAAAGTCCAGTCGACTAGCACTCAAATAAGTCAACTACCTCGAAAAAGAAAAGAAAAATTACAATTCACCCCCTATTGCACTGTCAATTGGTATCAGAGCAGGTCTCATACTTTTGTTTAACCGCTTGTGAGAAAAGATCATGGCCAATCAAATAACTATTGGAGCACTCTTTCAAGAGGTAATGTCTCAAGTGACACCACCATACTTCAATGGACAACACTTTTCTCACTGGAAAGTTCGAATGGAAATCTATGCAAAATCTTATGATATGAAAGTACGGCGTGTTATCAAAAAGGGAAACTATCCACTACCAGTAGTAGCTCAACCACCCGTTGATCCTGAAGATATAGATGAATACACAAACGAACCTGAAAATAATGAACTCAGAGGAGATCTTATAGCATTCGAGAAAATCCATCTCAAGAAGACAAGTCAGGAAGAAAAGAAGAAAACTGTTGCCTTCAAAATCTACAACTGACGGACCTGAAAATGATATTGATGACGATGCAGAAGCCCTTGAAGAAGAAATTTCTATGGTATCAAGAAATATGGATGGGATAATGAGAAGGTATAGAAATACAAGAAAGGGAAGGATGCCATCTAGGCGAACCAGACAATACAATGAACAAGACAAGAATGATGGAAAGTGTTATGAGTGTGGAAGGTATGGGCATGTTCATGCTAAATGCCCAGATCTTAAAAGAAAAGTCTCCAGAGGGTTCAGCAAAAACAAATCCGTCGGAAGTTGGAGTGATGAAGATAGTTCAGAACACGAAGAACTAGCAAATCTATGCTTCATGACCATCCTGAAAAATGACATGAACAAATACTCTGACTGCTGGACTGATGAAGATATATCAGACGATGAATGCAAGGAAAATACTGAAAACTGTTTCATGGCATGAGGTGAAACAGGCAAGGTAAGATCTTATAAATGTGATAGATGCAATTAATTGCAGGACATTCTTGACCTTACTCTAAAAGAGTCTCAAAAAATGTTGAATGAATTAAAGAGACTCAATAGGGAAAAGAAAGACTGGGAACTTAAGCTTGAAGTCTGTGAAATCGAAAGAGATGTATTTCAAGATGAAGTTAAGGAATTGCAATTGCAACTAAATGGCATGCGCAAATCCACCAGTCACAGTTCAGTCAAGTCTAACCAGGCGACTTACAAGTCAACTGAAAAAGAATTGGCTAGAGCTGAGTGCACAGGTACTAACACAAGGGGTAGATCAAAAACCGGATCAAGCCCTATGTGTCATTACTGTAGCAAAATTGGACACAAATATTCATTTTGTCGATTTCGTAAATCTAATATTTCAGGATGGATTTGGAAACCCAAAACAATCTTGATCCTAGTAGAACTAACCAACAAGGGCCCAAGAAAGCTTGGGTACCTAAAAGAAGGTGGCAATTCTATTTTATAGGAACGCCATAAAAAGAGATGTAAAGGAAAATGACAATGTGTATTCTAGTCACATGACGGGTGACAAAAATATATTCAAAGAAGTCACAAAAATAAATTGTGAAAATGTCAAAATTTGTGATGATTCAAAAGGAAAGATAGTTGGTACCGGTACAGTTCCATTCGAAAATAATTGTGATACTACAGAGGTATATCTTGTAGATCGACTCAACTACAATCTTCTGAGCATAAGTCAGCTATGTAATTCGGGATATGAAGTAAAATTCAAGAAAACAGGGTGTGCCATTGAGGATAAAACGGGTAAAATTATTCTTCCGGGAAAAAAGTATGGAAATGTCTATATTCTTGATGGCATTGAAAATCTAGACAGTCATATTTGTCTAACATCCCTGACGATCCATGGCTTTGGCATAAAAAACTTGGTCATGCAAGCATACATCTTATTGAAAAACTGTCCATGCATGATTTAGTTATTGGTCTTCCCAAACTCAACTTTTCTAGAAATCATGTATGTGATGCATGTCAGATTGGTAAACAAACTAGAAACATTTTTAAAACTAAGGATATTGTGTCCACTACTAAGCCATTGCAATTACTTCATATGGACTTATTTGGACCTACTAGAACTACCAGCATTGGAGGTAAACGTTATGCTTTTGTTATTGTTGATGATTACTCACGTTTTACATGGGTAATTTTCTTATCTCATAAAGATGAAGCTCTAAAATATTTTGAGATTTTCTTCAAAAGAATTGAAAGAGAAAAAGGGGATCTGATCACAACCATCCAAAGCGGTCATGGAGGAGAGTTTGAAAACAGATCCTTTGAAGAATTTTGTAATGATCAAGGGTATACACATAACTTCTCATCCCCAAGATCACCTCAAAAAAATGGAGTAGTTGAACGCAAGAATAGAACTCTACAAGGTATGGCAAGAACAATGATATTAGAACATTCACTGCCAAATCACTTCTGGGCAGAAGCAGTTAGTACAACATATCATATTCTCAACAGGTGCCTCATAAGACCTATTTTGAAGAAGACTCCATATGAATTATGGAAAGGTAAGAAGCCAAATATTGTCTACTTTCACCCGTTCGGAAGTAAGTGTTTCATTCACAACAATGGTAAGGATAACCTTGGAAAATTTGACCTAGGGAGTGATGAAGGTATTTTTCTTGGTTACTCTATTAACAGTAGATCATTTAGAGTTTACAACAAACGTACATTATCTCTAGAAGAATCAGTGCATGTTATATTCGATGAAAATAACTATGTGGCCAAGAAAGGAATCATTGCAGATGATGAAGATACCAGCCAAGAAGTATCACATACAAATAAATCATAGAAGTCGACTGATATCCCAGCTATAGTCACATAGTCGACTACTGAACCTGTGATCAATCCTGCTGAACCACAAAAGGAGTCGACTACTTCTACAGTTGGAACCCGACTGAATGAATGGAGAAGTGAACCTGAATATCCTCAAAAATTCATCATAGGGGATCCAAGCGAAGGGATGAAAACCAGAGGGTCTCTCAAAAAAGAAAGCAAATATTGCACTCATCTCTCAAGTAGAATCAAAGAAAGTTGATGAAGCCCTAAAGGACTGCAGCCGAATACAAGCCATGCAGGACGAACTTGATCAATTCAACAAAAACCAGGTTTGGGAATTAGTTCCTAAGCCTGCAAACGCTATTGTAATCGGAACAAAGTAGATATTTCGAAACAATCTAAATGAATAAGGGAAGGTAGTAAGAAACAAAGCCATACTAGTAGCTCAAGGCTACTCATAGCAGGAAGGAGTTGACTATGATGAAACCTTTGCATCGGTAGCATGGTTAGAA